TTTATCAGCAAATTATGAGTAAATTCAGATCAGATTTATGGAAATAAAAGCCTGATTCAGTTCATCTTTATGGGAAAATCATCTTGCTTTACTTTGACTGCTCTCTGTTGTTCAGATTTTACTCCTATTAGTGTCACTTAATACTCCCAGTTTCTCTCTCTCTTTTTCTCTGTCACACACACACACACAGACACACACACACACGCGAACACACACACACACACACACACACACCAGCTACCAGTATTAATTATGCATGATGAACCATCTCACCAGAAGCTGTCAAACAAAAACAACAACACGCCTTGCTTCAAACCGATTGGCCGACAGGTTTACCTGAGAGGAAATGGAGAGAGGTGAGGAGAGGTCAGTGGGGGAGGGGGGGACCACAAGCAGCAGGGAAAACCTGTGATTTAGTGAAACCGATCCGACAGTCGGACATCTGTCGTTTTCCTCCCTCCAGAGTCCAGTACCACCATCTGTCTGCATGTTTGTTGTTTTTTTTAAACTCTGGTCCCTTCGCCACTCAAATGGAACGACAGCCAATCGCATCGAAGCTCAGAAACAATAAGAGCTCCTGATTGGTTTTCACCTTGACGTTTGAACAAATTGAATTTAACAACAGATTTACTGCGGGCGGAAATCAATCCGAACGACCTGAGGATATAGACGTAAAGTAGACAGAGTGTATTTAACACAGATGTTCAAACTGGTGATGGAGAATGGAGAGAAAGCAAGCATGCTTTCTGACAATAAAGATAAATGAAGTCACGTCAATATTCATTGGGAAATATATTGCACTGATGTTTGTTGGTGATTTGTAAACAACATTCACCCTTTCGGATACATTTTTATGGGATCTTTTCTATTAAAACACACATCAAACTGTGTGCAGGAGCTGGAGAAAAAAAAAACAATCCACCTATAAAGTCTGACCTGGTCTGAGTTAGGAACAAAGGGGCCGTACCTAGAACAACGTGGAGAGCTGCTGTGACTGGATCTCTGACTCCATGGACTGAACAGGAAACCACATCTGTAGAACCTGTTGAGGCAAAAATGAAAACTCGTGAAGCTTCCCGCAGGCCCGGCTGCGTTTCTGCTGCATGAAAAGGTCTTACCGGCAGGAATGATCCCCAGTGGCAGAGCTGCTCTCACTGGGTTTTCTGGAGAATCTGCATCTAGCTGAGCTCGGAGAACCAAAGCGTGGCACAGCTCCGCCACCGATCCGTCCCCACCGACACACACCACGCTGGAGGACAGGTGAAGACACGTCTCCATCAGGACAGATGGATGCAAGAAACAACTCTACGCTCTTATTGTGAAGGTGAAGGCATTTTGTAAACCTTTAAAACTTCCTTAAACTCCAATAAAAATCTTGAAAAGTTGCGACTCTCTAATAGAAAAGGTTTTAAATATAGTTTTATTAATTCAGTTAATAGTTCAGTCAACTTTTTTAATGCTTGTATTTTGTACAAGAATGAATGATTCAATATTGTGATCAAGGTCCCTTGGTTTATATTTGTCTTCTACAAATATAAGATGACAAATTTAATATAAAAGCTGAGTGAAGCTGGAGAAGAGTTAACTTTAGCAGTGTGGTATTAGCACTATGCAGTGAGACGCTCCATCTTCATGACTGTGTTTGCAGTAAATAGGAGATAAACTGGCTCCGCCTCCTTCCCCCTCTTCCTGGGGATGGGATTACCTGAAACTCTGGTCGCCACGGTGACAGTCAGCCTAATTGGCAAATGTAGGTTTCAACCAAATCCTCACCAGTGCAGCCTCACACACACACACACACACACGCACAAACGCGGCAGCTAGCTTAGCAACGCTGAGCTAATCTTCTCTAAGCACATTAAGCTTTATGAGTGCTGAGCACAAAAGCTGCTTACACACACACCCAGACACACACACACACACTCTTATACACCCAACCACAGGTAGAGCGACAAGAGCTTCATAAAAGTTTTATATTCTTCAAGAACACAAGGTTTTGAAACAGTGTGAAGCAGTTCTTAAAGCTCACTCTGGGGCAGGTCAATGTGATTTATGTAACCTGTGTGTGTGTGTGTGTTTGTGTGTGTGTGTGCGCGTGTGTTTGTTTGCGTGTGACTGCGTGTGTGTGAGAGAGAGAAATCAGTCTGGGTCAGTGTGTTTTAGTGTCAGCCTCCCACAGTAAACCTCTGTTTGATTACACGTCTCACTTCAGTGCGTCACAAACTCATACATGTCCAACAGCTCCATCAAAGCTGCATCTTCGACTGATTTGACACGTCAGATAGTTTTTACAAGGAGAAAAAAACTACATCAAACTTTATCGTGTGAATTGTAAAGTCACCTGTAATCACTTGGTCAATTCCACACGCAATAACTCCTGGGTTATTATGTCTTAAAATAACCCAGGAGTTTTAACTAAACACGTTTTGATGTGGCCCAGTCAGAGTGCCCCATATGAACTGGGAAACGGCAAGAAAGACTTTCAACCTCAACGATCGTCACCAGAGAAACACGCAAAAAGCTGCTCAGCAGTTATAAGAAGGGATGTCGAAAGATTTCTAATTAATGAGAAGGATAATTAATACGATGCAATTTTTAGTGAAATGGGGACAAAAACAATTATTTTTTTTATCTTTTAGTTGACACACTTTTTACACTGTGTTATGGCTTATTTTTTAAATGTATGGGTCAGTTCCTATAAAAAAATAAACATCTTTATTAAATAAGAATAATTGCCAGGAGTTTGAAAAATGTTGGGCTTAATTGTAGCTAGTACAGAACTAAATGTGCACAACATTCAAACTTTAACAAGGAGATTACAAAACCCCTTGTTTTGTAATCAGTTTCAACTCACCTACATTGGAGGTGAGTTGTGAGTTTTTAAATCACTCTTTCTCAGTTTTAATGTTAGACATAATCCACTGTAACCTAATTTTGAGGATGGAAATGAAATCTACTGTCAAAATGAACGAGGGTCGATCCATATTTGACCCAGAGCTGGGTTAAATGACGTTCTTTTCATCTAAATGGTACCAATAAATATATATGGCATAAAAAAATGGTTTAGCTACCAAAATGTTTTGCATAGTCCTTCACACAAAACTATGGATGAACAAACAAGATTTCGAATGAAAAAGAAAACTTCAATTCCAAAACATGTATTTTATTTCATAAAAATCAAGAGATATGAGAAATAAAAGAGAAACAACTGACCCATCGTATTCATCCAGTTTGCATTCCTTCATCACTGAGAGAGCATGACCCTTCCTATCAGTTACTGCAGAGACGGACAGAAAGAAAGACACGTAGGGACAGACAGAGGGAGAAAAAGGAGAGGTGAGCAGATGGAGAGTCACTGAGATGGACAAAGATAAAGTGTTCATGCATGTGTGTGGTCAGATGTACATGGTTGTGTGTGCTTGATAGCTGCCAAAAGAAAAAGTGGGACAACGGATATCGTGCCATCTGCTGAGAGAAGGGAAAGAGAGAGTTGAGGAGTAGCTGTGAGAAAAGAGGAGAGGGAGATGCAAGCAGGAGAGGCGGAATCGTAGAGAAGATGATAGAGGAAAAGAAAATGAGAATAGGGAAAAAAAAAAAAAAACAGGGAAAGGAGATGAGAGGAAGTTGTGTCCCTCTGTCTTAACAGATGGACTTAGCTCCGCCTCCAGGATCAGGTTACCTAGCGACCAGAAACTGCCATTAGCTCTGACCTTTGGACCTGGACACTTAAGCGCACACACAGAGATTTCATATCATATTTTTGTTGTTGTTGTTATTTTTTTATGCCAATACAGAACAAATTCCTGTAGCAATTGAACTGATTCTTATCACAATAAAATAAACTGCTAAACTTGAATGGCCGTAAGCGTAGCAGAAAGAGATAAGCAGTGAGACGAGCCAACCTGTGATGTCAGTGCGGACGTCGGCCATCTTAAAAAGAGGAGCCACATGGTCTCTGTAGATGTGAACGGCCTCCTTCTTGTGGCTGCTCGGGTTGATAAACACCTTCACATACCTGGGCCGGGTGCTGAACCCTGCACACACACATGGATACACCCGCAGTGAGCCCCTCCATCACTGCCACCCGCGACGCGTTTGAGCAAACTCTGCAGGATCTGGTTTACAGTAAGCAAAACCGATACTGCAGAGTTAACAGCGTCCGCTCACATTTACGTACATTTATGTAAGTTGCAATCAGGGTCAATAGCTTCAAATTGTCAAGGACCAAAGATGTTTTCTTTATGCAGATTGTGTTAAAAGCAGGTTAAAAAGTTGCTCTATTAGTTTACAAAAAAAAAACCCACAGAAAAGAAACAGGTGAGGGATGTCATCAATTTATACTCAATTGTTGAAACGTGCTTCATATTTTTCAAAATCATTTCTCTAATCAAAAGCTATATGGTTATTTTAACATGACTCAATGCTTATTATCTCCGAATGAATCAGTTAAAGGGGTTTATCATTCCCATCTCTTTAGTAATATAGAACATTAACTAGAGATTAAAAAACGTTGTTCCAATTTGCTGGGCTTGATGGGTGTGCTTAAATAGATTTAGTCTCCACGTATTCAGTGCAATCTGCTTTGTGAATCGAGCGCAGATATAAAGCAAAACATTGGTAAAAAGGGAGCACACTGCATGGCTATTGGTTATAAATAATGAATTTAGTCCTAACAACCCAGAAAGAACCAGAGTCGACTCCTCAATGACGAGTTAATCACGTAGAAACTCTTACAGCTTAGACTACAGCTCCCATTTCTGGAATATGAACAAGTCTGAAGACTGTGTGTGCATGTATGTGTGTGTGGTTTTACAGGATTGTCTCCAAAATACACACATTCGCCGAGGCTCCCCCCACACTGCTCATCATTAGGCAGATTTAGAGACCGCATTATGAATCCCCATAGACTAACTTAGATCAATACACACACACCAGCTCCATTATCCAGCTCATGACTATAATCTGCTCCCACCAGGCCGTGACCTCGCCCTGTTAATGACCCCACTTGCACACACAAAGTGCACCTCCTACCATCACTCCATGGTTCTGTCCAGGTTCTCCGGAGATCTTATGAGGAGCCACCTGACACCTTCATCATATCGGACCCCCAGCAGTGCAAGAAGCCACACCCGCTGTCTTTAAGCATCCTGTCCAATATTTATTACATTTTTGTTATTGTATCTCTATTTATACGGGTCAGCCACCATATTATTTGGAGGTAAAGTAAGTATTAGATGTGTCATGGGTTTTTCTTTTAATGGGGACGAGATAAAATTCACACCAGATGTCAGCAACAAGCCAAAATTATCCACACGGCCAAAGAATATCGAAGCAAATTCGTCTGCAAATGAAGCTACTGGTACAAAATATATATAATATATTTGCAGAAATTGATGAAATTGTGGAAAAGCCTTTTCTGGTAATGACAACTTCCAGCCATCTCTTGCAGGAGACAAGTCACATGAATTACTCAGAAGTGATTATGACCCATTTATTAAAAACAAATTGTCTTTGAAACTCGAAGGTCTTGTGGGTCCTCTGTATGCACTCTGATTGTTGCTTATTTCCACAGCTTTCCAGCTGGAGAATAGTCAGGTCATTAACAGTCGAATGGCTGGGAAATTTCAACTTGTTTTATCTTCCAATTGTTATCAAGAATGTCTTGGTGAGTTCATCCATTCATTCTTTCTTCAGTTAACTAACGTATGCCATTCTTTGGCGTTATGTTTTTGGGGTGATATACAGAGTTCCTCGAAACAAGGTGTATGAAATTAATTCAAAAGAGTTCAACGTCGGGGTTTTCTGATTTGACAGCATTTCACTGAATCGTCCAGATGTTCTGCAGCCAGCTTTAAACAATGCTTTTTCTTCAACAGTGGAGTCTTATGCAGCTTGTTTTCAAAAAGACCATTTTTGAGTGAATTACTTATTTTCATAGAAAAAAAAGAAAAACAAATGTTTAAAGGTATTCCTGAAAATCTTCATGACATTCAAATTTTTGACCCATAATTTAATTTTGCAGACAAATTCTTCTTGATTAATTTCTATGTGTAGATTAATTGGATTGTTGCTGAAATCTGGTGTCAATTCATGATCTTATTGGAAATATTTAAACTGAGGAAAAGACTGACAGGTTTCAGTGTGTATTTCACCCTGCAATTTATTTTTGTTGAGATTTTTTTTTCATTATGGTTTATGAGTAAAAGGAATTGATGAAGGATAGCTGTTAAGTCTCCATTATTCAGGAGCCACAGACGAAAACAGTAAAACTGGATGAGCTAATGAGCTATTTTTATTAAAACAAAATCAGGAACTACAAAACCTCTCCTCTGCACAAATCATAATTTAGGTTTCCATCTTTACTTAGAGTCCCATCCTCAGGGGGCTGTAAAGAACTGTAATTCTCTCTCCTTGCTTTCATGAGAGCTGCCACCAACTCAATCACAGAGAGTATCAGGAGTCGATTCTGTTCAGTTCTGATGTGTTTCTCAGAAGACGTCTCTCGGTCTCGGTCAGTAGCATGTTGCTTTGGTTTTCCAAACCGTTGCCATGGTAAACAATCTCTGTGTTGTCATGGATCAGTGTTGAATTTCCGACACAGGACTTGAAGCTCAACTGCTGAACGGTGTTGACAAAAACAGAGGCTCCACCTGAGGTCACAAATAAAGGCATGAACTCAAAACACACCTCGGTTAAGCTTTACTAGGATTAAATTAATAAACCTTAACTTTATTACTTATAGAGTTTCAGTAACAGTTTGGTGCTTTATGAGCACTAAAATGTTTAGTATACCATGAATATTTTGATGTTCGGTATATAGTTCAGTATGTATTTAGCCTGTTACAATTCATAACTTTTGAACGTTTCAACTTTTTCATTAAAGCCAAGAACTTAAACTTCATTTTCTGTCATTCATGTGATTGACTATAAAGCCTGAAACAGAACCGTGACGTAGGAAGGAAAAAAATAGATGGGCTTCTGGTTTTTATGCCAAAAAAATTTTCAAAACTGTGGTATGCATTTGCATTCAGTCACACTAAGTTAAAACTTGAGGATTTTGGTTTGGACTTTTAGTATACGACTATACTTGATCTAAACCCCTCAGCTGAAGCTCTGCTGTGCTTAGGGTCACTGGTCTGCAGACGGGCAGCCTCTGCCCCAATCTGAAGTCTTTAGCTACCTCAAAATATATATATCTATATATATATATATATATATATATATATAGATATATTTTTTTTTACCAGGTTTGAAATATATTTAGAGCCTTAGATGCTCCCATCAACTCTGACGAGCTTTATTTTTTTCTCCTGAAAAAAGAAAACGTTTTCTGGCATGGTAGGAAATGTATTTCCAGTGCTAGCTTTCTGCAACACAGAGTTTTACTTGATGGACTGCATGTTATTCAGTAGTGCAGATTAAAGTAGGTAGAATTCAAATGCACATCACGCATTTCAGGTTTTTTTTATTGTAAAGAGAGCCAATGGCTTTCCCTTTCACGGTCGTGTGTCACTTTGTGTTGGTCGTTTACATAAAATCGTAACTACAAATGCATTTGAATGTGTGGTTGTGTTTTAAAACGTCATGAATATAATCACAACCTCAAAGCTACAATTTTTGAAATGTCCAAAATTACTTTGATTATTGCATCATCAATCTTTGGAAATGTTATCATACTTATCATCATACATTTTGATGCGTCGACCAACACAATGTAAACGTCCTACATGGCTGGATGGAAACAGTTTCACAAGTATTTGCTTGAGCTGTAATCGAAACATTGTGAATGAAGAAATTAATCCTAATTCTGGTATCCTGACGTGAACGTTCAGGGATGATCGGGAGAAATAGCAGGTTCACAACTGATCACAGAGGTTTTAGGTTTCAGTCCCCACCTCCTCCTGTCCATATGCTAAACACTCCATAAGCAAATGCGTCTTCTACTTAGTGTACGTGTGTGTCAGTGGGTCACACTCTGGATAAAAATACATTCAGACATCTCTTTAATATTTTCCACTCTGGTTTGCCGGCGTTATCAAAGGTTCACATTCAGATTTCTCCTTTGAAGTTGCAGTAAAACAAAGATTTTTTCCTGACAAACCAATAAAGAGAGAGCAAAGTAAAATAAGTAGGGGAGGGAGGAAGTAAACAGTCTGCTCTCATCCTGTCTCTATGGATACACAGGGCTTCACTAACAAACCAGTTAATGTGTAACACTGAGCTTGCTGTAAAGGGCCATAAAGTAATTTTGATAGACAGACATGCTTAGACTGATTTCTTATTTGTAAAAAAAAAAAAGACAAAACACAAAAAATACAATAATCAATATATGTTGCTTATATATGCTGTTCATTAAAACTTGAAAAATAAATATTTGGTTAATTGGTCATGATACAAGAAAATGATATATTTTTAGACTCATCTACCAACCATGAAAAGGATGAACTTTCAAGAAAGTCAAACTTTTTGAGAAAGAATAATATGTCCCAATTTCAATTGTATGATCAGCCATATGAGTTTATGAAACGCTTATAAAAAAAACATCCATTAATCACCATCACTTGCCAGAGGGAGCGCCAAACATCCAGGTGCTTGAAGTAGTTCAAGTTGCGAAAGAACACAATTTACAACATCACCCTAAAATGCACAACCTGTAATAAATAAATAATCCAACATGGACTTATCCATTCTAAATATGTCCTGAAATCATTTAAATAGTGAAGCAATGAATTTAAAATAGGAAAACAGAGGAAATTTAAACACTTGGCAGATGAAAAGACACTAAATGTGGATTTAAGTTCTGATAAAAAACATTTTAAGGAAATGATCAGTGATAGCTGAACCCCCCCTCTAAGTGGGTTTCTGTTACTTCAGGGCCCCATTCAGACAAAAATAAAAAGAAAAACTACTATAAAATTAAATCTAGTGCTACATCTGCACTTTGAGTAATTTAGTTCAGGGTAAGCAAACTATATGATTTTAAACTGATGAGATTTTGGTTTGATCCACCTTTCTTCTTCCATTGTTACTGCAGCTAAATTAAACTGCAATGTTCGCAAATAGCAGAAATTACAGATAGCTGTGAGACCTTCCTTGCTTAGTTTTGGACATTAGTTTTCTTAAAGTTGCACGGCGGAGCAGAAAATCCAAATAAAACCAAAGCTAAAGATCAGTAATGATAAAAGATGGCAATTTTACGTTTAGAGAAAAGCTGCATACTGGATTAAAATGTGAAGAGCATTTAAGTGATATCAGACAAATAGATTCTGTCCACTAAAATATTAAAAGTCAGTAAAAAATTGCATAGTGCGTAACTTATAGCTAACATGGTGTTAAAATATATTTCTCCACACATTATCACTGCTGGGGCTTTCTCCAGTAACACTGGACTGTAAGTCTGTTCAGCTGTTTAACAAGTGCAGTCAATTATTCCGTCGTCTGACTGCATGTATTGAAACAGTCTCTATACTGCATAAATACTTACCTTTTGTAGCTCTGACTGCCATTCAGTTTCTGCACAGCATTCTGCAGCTGCCTCACACAGCAAACGGGACAGAATGACGCTCTGGAAACAAGAAACAAGGTGCTCTCTGCTCGCCATTGTGCAACCTAATGTTCGGACCTAGAGGTTAAGAAGTGGCGACGGTGTTTGCGGCGGCGAGACTGCCCACTCTGCGGCACCAAGATCCATGCAACAATAGGCTTTTCATACTGACCTCTGGCTGGAAAATAGGCTTAATGTCCGCAGAGCAGCAGAGCGACTGACTGTGTTTACCTTTCACATCCACGCACACATGCAGAAATAGACTCCTACACTGCGGTGTTTAAAGTCACAAAGGCCGTCACAGTTTGATCTGCAGTGTGACCACTCGAGCTGACACTCGACCTGCGAGCCATTCATGAGCGTAAGTATGAGGCCCATAACGCGGCCTTGAAGAAGTTGTGACTTTGCTGCGGGGGCCTCAGGGGTAATCTGGTTTGATGGACAGACAGACGCGCAGTCAGACAGGTGACCAGCGATAACGTGTCAGGCTGATGCCATGGTGGGGGAGCGACGGTGGCCCGAGTGTCAACTTTGACCTCCTCATTTAATGATTGCTTGTAATGTCTCTGTTGGGCTCAGCATAGATGCAGAAGCAGAAAAAAAGCTGAAATGTAAAGCATGTTCCATACACACAGCACTTCAACATTTCCATTGTGAGTTAACAGTCAGCCAGGCACTGCCCACTACAGTGCACCTGGGAAATCAGCGCATGGGAAACTCAGAGTGCAGTAGCATCCAGGACTTCACTGAAAAAGCTCCTGACAAGCAGATGGCTGCCGCTGAGGAAGCTGCCTGATTTACTAATAGATTAGCTGGTACACCCTTAAGTAGGGGTGTAATGGAAAATTTTCTGTACAGTCCTTTCAGTCGGCATTCATGCCAAAACTAATGCAGACTTGTAAATGAGAGCACATGCAGAAAGTTTTGGTGCGAATCTAAAGCGTAATTTCTACATTCCTCTGTGTAAACAAAGCAGAGAACTCCTAACGTCTGCTATTTAGGAACATTACATTAAAAGTGCACAACACCGAAGCTTTATGCCTCAGCTTTTAACACCCATGAGGTACGGAGCTTGTTGATTACTCAACTGAAACATCAAGTTAAAAGTAAGGCGCAGAGAAAAGGTTAAAGTTCAAGTCTATCTGCTTCTAGCGTTCAGCTAGAGTTTCTACCAGCTTTGCTCATCTAGATACAGAATTTCTTGATCTGCTGAAGAACAGCATCCCCACATCATGATGCTGCCAACACTATGTTTTACAGAGGAGAGATGTGCAGAGTGATCTTTCTGCATGTAGTTTTGTTTTGTCTCATCTGACCAAAGTAGTGTTGATTTCAGTGACCAAAGCTATGGTGTAAATATTTCGTCTATGGTCTGAAATTTAACAAAAAAGACAATTAAAATAGTAATTATGCCAAAAATTTTAATAATGTTCAACAAAGAATGAAAATGAGACTAAAATACTTAAAGGAAGACGAAATCAAATCAGATCTAATTTTTTGTTCTGAGAAAAGGTTTGAACAAGTTAAAAGCCTAGCCAATGATTATTTACAAGATTGCTATTAATTACAAGCACCGTCTACTTTTTTTTAACGTATCAATTCATCATGAAGGCACTGAGACATTGACACAAGTTGAAGGGGAGAGGTGATATTCAGTGCCAGTCATTCAGCCGCCAAGGAAAAAGGTTTTACCTCATGTATTACAACCTTTCAAGTAGACCAGTTTAACTAATCTTTTCTGCAGACAACAGAAGACAACAAGCGCTGACAGCATGATCGTTACTACTGCTGAATGTGTATGTGTGTAATCTGTGTGTCTTTGTTCTTCTGGATTATCAGATTAGCTCTCCTGTCTGAAGTAACTCTGACTCACCTCACTGAAATGAACGTGAACAGTCTTGATGGAAACGATTGCAACAAAAAACACGGATAATGTGGCCAAAAACTGAAGTTGTGCTCAGTAGTTGGTTACCTACTGTATTTTATTACTGATGTTAGTGCAGATACAGGTGCAAACGGGGATGAAATGGTTAATCATAATTAATCAATTATTGAAATAATTGTCACCTAACTTAATAAGAGATTAATTGTTAACTTGGGTGTACGGATGCAAAAAAAAAAAAGATAATTTTCTGTAAGAACAATATAATAAAAGTAGTAATTGAAGCCAAAACTCTGCAAAAAATGTAAATTTTGCATTTATGATAAATATATTTAATATATTTAAGCTAAATATGTTCTACCTAGAACTCCTCCATTGACAGTTTTAGCTTCACCTGGTTCAAATTCTGTAAAAAACAAAATCTCCTATTAACTAATGTTTACTATCCAATTAATAATTAGTTAATCCAAACATTAGTCAATTTTCCTATAAATGATCAAACACTAAAGGGATGCTATGTTATAGCATTTAAGGCAATAACATTTTTATTTTCCTATTTAAGAAAGGAACTGCATCATTTGTTTTCTGCATCTTTTAAAGTTTAAATAAAGGCTAAAAAAGCGTAAACAAAGTCTCTTTACTGATACATCACTGTCTAATGTGATTGTCTTATTGCGAGCTGCATCACTCAGCAGTATTTGCATAATCACCTTACAATCACAGATGAACTGAGTCATGTTTCCATTGCTTCAATCTTATGTAACAGAAACAAGCCGACTCTTAGCCTGGACTGTCAGCAAGTCCATCAGAGTGACGCCACGCTTCGATGCACACAGTTTGGTTTCATTTGTGAAAATGACCAAAACATTTACCTGTGAGCAGTTCTTTCAGAGTGTTATACCAGGAGTGTGTGTGTTCTGCGGAGGCGTTGTGGAGGTGCAGCGTGTCCTCCTCCAGCCTCTGTCCTCTCCTCCTGCTGTGGAAGAGAGCGAGGCCGAGCACGGCTCCGCCCGACTGCTGGCCCGCCATTCGCCTCCTCTTCACCTTCACGGCAAAAACGTCCTGCAGCAGCACCTCACCTGCCTGCGGCACGCTCCCTTCCCCTGCAGCGAGAGATGTGGGCAGCGTGCAACACGTGAGCTCAAAACGCTAAGACAAAATCTACAACATCTCCATCAGATCCGGAAAAAACTAATATCGCCTCTGACATTAATGAAACATTTAATACCCATTTCTTTAAATGGTCTAGTAGTTTATTCTGCACCATAAAGTAAAAAACTATTAAAGGCTAGTGACTACAAATAAATTGCAAGAGATTAATGGAAATATTTTCATTCTCTTTAGTTTAACCTTCACCTGAAGGATGAAGGTTAAACAAGAACGGTCAAACTGCAGCTAATTATGTAATATCGTCTGCAGAATTATTCACTAATCTATTGATTGGCCTAATGCACAGTCACATCCTCCAATCATCCGGCTTAATCAGGATGGGAATCTGAAATCTGATTGGCCCACGTCAGATAAACCGTCTAATTCTCTCAGGATGCTGTCAGCACAGCTAATGTCGCACACTGCGTTACATAACACTCACATTTTATTCATAACACACACAGAATACATACTTTTTAATTGGTTAGATTTCTTTAAGCTGGTATAGTCGATGATGGATTGTGGATGGATTGTACAAGAATAAAACTGAAAAAAAAAGTTTTAGGATTCTTTTAAATAACATTTCAGAATAAAAAAGGTTTAAACCACTCGGTGTTGTTTTGATATTCGGACAAGCCCAGCATACGAAATGTATTTGAATGCACCATAAAAGCACAACGGTTTGGACTTGGAAGGACAGCACCAGCCTCATCTGTCTGCAGACCAGTCAACCAGTCTAAGCATCTCAATTGACTGGCTAATTTGGACTTCAGCAGAGTTTCCTTCAGTACCATTGATGTCTACATTTATCTTGATGATGTTACAGGTGAGTAATTCAGTTAAATTCGGCCAACTTTTTTTCTCTCTCCTGTGGCTCCGTGAACAACCTTGATGAGAGTCCTCTCTGTTCTGTTTCGGTGTCACTTTTTGAAGCTGCGCTACAAAATATTCTGCATGTTTACCATTACATCCCTGGGAAATATCCATTAAAAATATTGGGGCGAGATCATTAAGTGTGTTAAAAAAAATTAGTTTTTTCTTTTTTATGAATTCAACATGAAAATATTTGTATTAGGCTACATGTGATGACACCTTTCACAGCAGATGGGCAAAAAATTCCAACTTCTCGTGACAAATAATAATCCACTTTAATTATCTAAAATATCTACACCTGTTGATTTATACCAACATGATCTGGTTTAGAATTAAAGCCCAGATTGAAGAGTGACCTACTTTATGTTCACTTGTCAAAACTATTCATACTGGAACACATACAATTTCTTTAAGAGTTTTAGAAGAGAGCAACTCTTAAGCTAAGGCCAATATTTATTTACTTTTCGCAGTCGATGCAAATAAAAAAAATAAATACTAGACTGCAGCTCTGCCAGTAATCATAACCGGATGATATTAACTTAAACACCAGTTCATTAGAAACAACAGAGCATAAAACAATGCAACAGCATAAAAAAGACTAAGATCTGAATGTGGACCGATTCATCGGGAAACAGTTCTAAATGGTTATTGGTGATTAACCTCCTCTGTGGGAACAACCCTCCTGCTGTTATCAAACACCAAATACCCCAAATCATCCACCGTTGTTCCCCCCGAGAACCAGGCCTCCATATGTTGAGGTCATGGTTCATGTGCTCAGATGATCTGTTATTGTTGTTGTTGTATTTTCTGCAAGCAAACACAACACTGCTCATAGGACTTAAAATAGAGGGGTAGAGATACCAAAAATTGCAACACGTAATATTACCTTTAGGTTTTATTCACTCTACTTTTTCTCTGGATTTCGCTGCAAAACCTCATTCGATGAACCTGGACCAATTTGTCAAACTGTATTTGACGGAAACACCTGATGGCCGAAATCAAGAGGTGAATGAAAGCGGGTAAACTCAAATCATATAATAAAGTCACCAAAATTTAAAAACTTATTAAAAGTGTAATATATATAAATGGCCCATTCAAACCATCTAATCTAATCAGCAGGAAAGACTATGTTTTCTTTTTTTAATCTTTGCAGAGAAATATGACTCTGATCTGTGCTGACTGAGCCGACAGAGAGGCTGCAAACACACAGGCACTGGTTTGTTCCAGATGGAGGAAAGTTTCCCATCATGACCTCACAACCCACTGTGCCAATACACACACACACACACACACACACACACACACACACACACACTACACAGTGGCAGTCCAGTCTCATGGTGACCGGGCCATGTGGTAACTGTAGGGAGTTTTGGATCATAGTGTGATCACGCGCATACACAAAAACCCACAAGCATACATTCACAAACATATGTGTTCAGAGGATAATCATATATTTCCTTTGGACTACACCTTATATCTGTAACTTCTGGTGTTATTATAATGTTGGTTACAAAATACCATCTACTTTATACGTAGCTGAATTTTAAACGCCCTTTTGTACCTGTTAGTAATGTTTCGGTGATAATAGGAAATACAATAGCCTAACATCTATTTAAATCCAAACAATGATTTGGATTCTATACATTTCATAGTCGTAAGAATGCACCCAGTAAAAACTTGAAAAATAATAATGTTTTTCATTCTGAGTTTCAATGCACCCCACAAAGAAAAGTTAGAACCATGGCAAGGTTTTAGAAAACACAAAACAGATTTTCTCACTAAAACAGTCAAATCTAATGCAATCTGTTCTCATAATAACCGATTAAAGGGAGAGAAAATCTGCTAAACAAATTGCAAAGTTGTATAACTATACCTGTAGCTATACTGAGTTTACTTTGCTCATTTAAGAGCAAAATAACATTAAATTTACTGCAATTGATCCAATGTCACATAGAGCTTCTTTTAAAATGTGATCTAAATCCTAAGAGTTGTTTCAAAACAGTCTGGGAAACTAAAACCTTTTCTTGAATACCAACTCAGAGATTTTTTATTTCTTATGAAGCCAGTAATTAAATAAATCTGCATCATCTTCTTCAGGGTCAATAGAAGGACTGATGCAGTGTGCCACACAGAAAGAATCAATATAAAACTAAATTCCTGTGTTCTGATTTTTCATCATCATTATCCTCAATTATTTTGCTAGTTATCAGTCAATTGGAAATGCTAAAGTCCAATATTTTCCCAATCAAAATACACCATACCTAAGAGTTGACAATAACAATGTTTCTTAAAGTATCTACATTTCCTTTGGATTCTTCTGCAGGTTTGATCATTTCATAGCAGAGATTTTGGAAACAAAACAAAGGCATCTGCCATAGTACAGCAATTCATAACCATCTCTCCATTTGTTTGGTGAATTGACCTGAAGCTGACTTCAGCGGATACTAACAAGGCTACTGCAGGGGACTGGAAATTAACCATAAAAGTCAGATGAGATTTTAATGTTAAATCAACTCAACTGTCCATGGCTTAAAACTCTCTTATCCACCTGCAATAATGCAAAACTAATCTCTGTATCTGACAGCTCCGGTTTCAGTTTCCTAACAGAAATAGATTAGATGAATTTATGTTTAGAAATAAACAAGAGCAGATGATCCATTTATATAGAAATATCTCATCAACACACAGAAACACACACACACACAGCGTGCTGACAGACTGCCTATGTGTATGTGTGCGTTAATCTCCTCACACTGAGAGACTCTAATAACCCCCCACGGGCCGAACCAACTGCTCTCTAGTGCTGCCAACACACATGCACGCATGCACACACACACACATGCACGCACACACACACACACACACACACACACACACACACTTGCACGCACACACGCTTACGCAGTGCTGGCTTAATGACATTAGCTTGGATGAAATACAACAAAACAGATTGGCTTCAGACACACAAACACATTGAATTTACACCTTCATCCTGCTTCACTAACCAGTTCGGTCTGAATGGCTTCCAAGTAAAAATCTACCACACAACAGGAAAGCACTAAATATGAGCAAAATGGTACAAAAACATTACAGAAATGTGAGGAAACTGGAAGCTGTGGGCACTTGTAACTTTGTAACCCTCTCAGTTCAATATTTACAGAAAATATTTTTTCAAATACACATCAAGTTTTGGTGTTGGGAGAAGTCAGAATTAATTTGACTTGTAAAATATATTATTGATATGCACGAAACTTTGATAATATATTCCTATGTGAGACAAAGTGCAGGGCAAAGTGCCTAGAGGACTTCATAGACTATTGTTTCGAACATCATAACAGAAATTACCATCATCATAACAATTTCTGGTCACTAATCACTTTTTGTGTGGTAACATTCTGAAAGCAGCAGACTTGTCATTAATCCCATGGTGAGTACTACAAATACATCACACAGAAGCATCTACATGTAAGCAACGCCTTCTTAAACCAAAGGGCTTATATTTACAATGAACACAAACAGTTTAAGTAAGAAGAATGACGTGAATATGTAATGGATGTATACAAATGTCTGTAAGTTTCAGGTTGTGTCAAACAGACAGACACAACAGCAGCTACACTCTTAGAAAATGTAGCTGGGGTTGCATTTTGAACAGCATAGGAGTTGTTCCCATTTGTAACTGACCTGTGGGACTCTCTGGTATGATGGGGGTCCATGTCAGCCTGGTGCGTGTGAGCAGGACATCGTGGCTCTTTTTCCCCACTTTGAAGATCCCTCGCATCAACACACTCTCACTGACAGATCACAAACACACACACACAGTTTGAGCTTATTTCAACCAATCAGATGTTATTTACACACGTCCATCACTAAAGTTACTGATAGATCAATCCTTAAACCAATCAAATGAACAAAGAAGAAACAGGTGAAAGAGGCTTTCTCGTTATCTTTTCTCAGGCCTTCTCACGGCCATATATGGAAGACAAGTAGGGCCACTGAAGAAATAATAATAAAAAAACAATAATGGCTTTAATCTCAGAATTCTGACCTTAATGCAGATGAGTGTCTTAGAGAAACCAACTGCAATGACCGAGAAGTGAGTCCAAGAGGAGAACTAGCTTTCTCTTTATCAAGTTTTCTTAATACGACAGGAGAAGTCAGAACTGAGGCTGTCTTACAGAAGCAGTATCTTCAGTCAGAGGCTTTTTCAGATAGGTTGCAAGACTGACTGCTATTGGAGACCAAGGTATCACCATCTACAATGACTCTTTTGAAGATAGTTGGTTGATATGAGTTACAACAGCATTTAATTTACCTTTGGGATAATAAACTATTTTAGAAAGACATTAAATCTTTTTTGTTCAGTGGCCAGTAATCATCTTCTCTAGTCAAAACTCCCTGATGAGAAAAGCAAAAAGGCTTCCTGTCATTAAGGTAGGAGGGATTGTTGAGCTGTACAAACAAGACATCTTGCAACACTCCATCAATGCCAAGGTTGTTTGCAGTACAGTCATTTTAAATTTTCTAAAATATCCTGAGTGGGCTGAGACAAAAAAGTCATGCAGTGGACTGAATACAAAAAAAAAAAAAAACCCTCACTCTGCCAGAGGACACAATGAGTTGTTCAGGAAGACAAAGGTAGATCATCAACCCAAATGAAGGCCCTCACCGACTACAGCCCAGTGACCACAGGATGGCATCTGGGAGAGAAGAGCTAATGAACCATAAAAGATCCTCTAAAGTGTCTTTATGCTGCCCCTGACCACAGGAACACGTTTTCTAGCGGCTCAGTGATTGCAGCAACACTTTATACTCCCATTTTTAATGCTAAAATGTCAGAAGTATGTCTAACCTAGTTAGAATCACAACATATTTAAGAAAAAGTTTTTCTGGACACATTTTTGTTAAAGAACAATGGTGTCTGAAGAAATATCAGAGGTTTGTCAATGTTCTTGTAGTGCAGCCTGAGGCAAACATAAATAAAACAGTGGGAATCTTAGTTTGTACCACCAGCTAGTAGCTATTTCATCACTGTGCACTCATCAAGCTGTTCGGTAACAGAACAGTGCAAACAGCCCCCAACCTAATGATTTCTCAGAGGGTTTTCTGATACTGAAAGTGGATGTGAAGTACGGACAAAGAGTATCATCAATTAATCAATCAATCAATATTGCCCACTCACTGTCATAGAGTGGTGGAGTAACTCACAGCCTACATGAAATGATCATTGTGAAAATGTTTTTTAATTCCACTTATATTTTTGTGATATTGGAGGACTCACTTAATTTATGACCATGAGTTTTGCTCTCATCATTCTAAAGGAGAAATTCAGGGGGAGTAAGAATGAAGAACATATTTTTACCAGGATGTATTAATTATAAATATTAACTTAGTACAAGTTAAGAACTGCCAAAAGACCTGCGTGATTGAAAATGTCCTGTGTTAGAGGAAGACCTACAGTTTGAATATTAGCAAACATAAAAGAGCTAAAGCTTTGGTCAACAAACTAGCAGGTTGAGTGTTTTAACCCCTTAACCCTTAATATTTAAAATTATTCAGAATATAACCGGTTTTGTTTAGCAAGTACACTTTTAAAAATGGTCTCAATTTAAGCGATTTATGCATTTAATATGCACAAATCTGCAACCCTGCAAGAGTAAATGGATGGACAGAAGGATGGCTGGATGGATGGATGGATGGATGGATGTGCACAAAGAACAAAGAAATTCTGATTGAAACCTACCAATATAAAATGAACGAGAAATTTCAGAGTAAATATATTAGTTAAATTCTATTTGTTCCATCAAAGTAAAAAAAAAAAAAAAAAAAAAAAAGCTACCTGGAAAAAAATAAAAGAATAATTTCCAACCAAGGGTGCACTCCGTGTTGATGTGCTTCTCATCCTACACATAGCATCCCAACTGTTATACCTTTATACATTCATAACATGGTGTGAAAAAGTAAAAGTCATTAACCACTTCCGTTGAAAGAGGCCTTTTATTTTGAAATAATTCTCTAAAAGGCTTATCTGCATAAATCCTCCCTTTCCTCTTTCATTTAATGTTAACTTTGTAACATGAACGCGTGAAGGAACTTCATTTACTACTCACCTCTTCTCCTTTTCTTTCTCCACCTGCTCCTCTTGTTTCCGCTCCTCTTCCTCCTCCTCCTCCTCCTCACTTACCCTTCGCTTCTCTTTCTTTTTCTTTTTCTTCTTCTTGCTGCTGTCTCTCGACTCCCCTTGCGCTTCAACCTCAAGCTCCGACATATTTACACGCTCACTCAAGGAAACAAAAGAAAACGAAAAGACAGAAAGAAAACACCACAGATATAAATTTGTTTCTGTCCGATAAACAAGCAGTAAGCTGATCACGGTGTGTATTTCCGGGGTCTCGTCGCTATGGAGACAGGTAGCGGCTTCATCGGGCACGCGGCCGATCCACTGGTGTGTAATCAACATGCATGCGCGGTCACACTCAGGGGCGCGCATGCATGGTTTTGTAATATTTTGTGAAACGCATGTCCCATTTCCTACCAGACAGAAATTATTTGGTTAAATGAAAACTATTTCAAATCTAAATCAGACACTTATATGAATAATATTATATTTAACTGCCTTTAACCCTTGTTTAACCCAAGAATCAGAACTGCATAGATCTAGATTCTAGAGCAGTGGTTCTTAACCTGGGTTCGATCGAACCCCAGGGGTTCGGCGGAGCCTCTGCCACGGAGGTAAAGACACACTTGTGTAAAGTCGTGATGACGCGCCCCGCTTTGCCATCACTTGCTGTGGAGGATCACGTTACATTGCTTAACCAATCAGTGCTGCGGAGGAGAACTGATTGCAGGAGTTCCACTCTTAGCATGGATTTGAACTTGTCTCTTTTACCAAATTCTGTAGCTTTCGGTGTACTTCTAAATCTGCTCCTTAGTCGCATCTTT